TCTGGTGGCTAAGGATCAAAGGCTGCCTTTAGGACGCTGGTGGTCAGGCCAGTCAGGCAAAGGTTTAAGTGCCGGATGTGCCGGTGACAGCACCTGAGGGCAGCGCCTTTGCCCCGGGCTTCAGCCGAGCTGTGCTGTGTGCTCTTGGGGACCTGTGTTCACAGACGCCATCGAGAAGGCATGCGGACAGGGTGCAGTGTCGAGGAGCGCGGTCGTGCCTCACTGCCTAGGGCTAAGTAACAATAATAGCAGCAAGTCATTCAACCTCTCTCTGTCTTAGTTTCCTTATCTCTGCATAATGTTTGCTACTATTAGTACAACAAAACTTACTAAAGCTGAGGAACCATCTTTTAAAAATGATTTCAAAACAGATGGTGTTTCCTTGACAAATTTCACTCTGATAAAATACTTTTTGCCATTGAGGGATTTACAAAGTTCATATTCATTGCGCATACTTGGGCAGGCTGATGAGTAATTCCACTGTGTGAGGTTTACAAGAAATCTGCAGTAATGATGCTGGAAGCAGAGCTAGTTGGTTCTTTATCTCTAAAGAAATACAGGAAAAGAGACTTGGAACGATGGAGGTGGGGGCCGGGGCAAAGCCTGCGAGGCTGCATCACCATCTTTGTCCTCAGAATATCTGAAAAAATAGAGGGCACTGTTAAAATGGGACACTTTCTGGAGCAAATGCCCTCTGCTGTCATGAGACCTTCTGAAGAATTCTTTTCTTCTGAGACCTCTCAGCATGTATAGACAGTTTTTGAACTGTATACTGCAGAATTAAGGCTCACTTGTTCCACTTTTTGAAGCATCTTGTAGAGGAAAAAAAAGAGGCTTTTTTGGTTTCCAAGCACATTTGTTACAGATGGGTACCTCCTCAGCCACTACCTGGAATTGGTCATATTTTTAGGGTGTAAAGAAGATGAAAGATATATCTGGGTCCTGGTGTCCCTGAATTCTTGGACTGTTGTCTTCATGACCCCAGGCACCCCTATGAGCCCAGAGGGGGATCTGTACAAGAGGAAGGAATTATTCCTGCAGGAAGAGGAATACTTGAGTACCAGCTGAAGTTCTCACCACACATCTCAGTGTAGAAGTATCTCGTGAACTGGATTAAGCCACACCAAGTTTTTGCATCTGTGGTCTAAGACAGAAGTAAACCAAATGCCCTATTTGGCCTTTTTTCCTCTACTTCTACAACCATATCCTTGTCCTACAAAGCTTGCCAGTTGCACAGGAAAAGAAAGATGAAAAACTCACTGAGGTGAAAAGAGAATTTCTCTCTAAATCTGAGAGTAACTTTAGTGAGACACCCATTCTGGGCCTTCTTTCCTCTGGGTCTTGCCCTGGATTGGATCCCACTGGCTTTCTAAGGAGAGAGGGAAACCTTCCTTCCGGGCTTGAGGGGGCTTTGGTCCCCTCTGACTATATCAGCTTTTGGCGAAGGAGAGCTTGAAGAAAGCAAACCCGAAGAGAGGAACCCATCAGGAAGAGGTGTCCTATGAACACATCTCCTTTGAATGTCTTAGTGCAGCACTTTCAACCTTTTCCATCCATGGTATATGTACACTGTCACTAAAATTCTGCAGCACACCAAAAAAAATATAACAGTTTTTGCTGATCTGAAGAAAAAGAGGCATAATTTTGATTTATTCACACCAGACAGCTATTGTTGTGTTGGCTGTTTTCATTTTTTTACTTGACAATCTAAGGGAAAAGAGGTCCGTGCCTCTGACTAAATGGGTATTGCACGTATTAAACATTCTGTGGCACACCAGTTGAAAATTGCTGTCTTAGTGCATCATGCTGAAGCACCCAAGATGCCCCTGATGAAGCCTGAGAGGGAAGCAGGAGTGCCAAGGGCAGTGAGAGGCCTTCAGTACGTGTTGGGTGACTGGGGAGTGAGTAAATGAATGAATACCATTCCTGGATTTACACTATGATCAGAATTTGCTCCAAGAAAATCTAACATCATTTTAGAGAGAATGAAAATAGGAAGGTTCTTTTTAGTTCAATGTCTAACATTTATTTTTATTTATGGTAGTGAGTTTTTCTTTTTTAGGAAAGTTGGGAAGGCTTATTTAAGCTTGAGCAAAGTTAAGATTCTGACCCAGCAAAGATCACTTTTGATCATTTTGTACCATTTGAAAATATTTACATTACCAGAATCACAGAATTGCAGGATTGGGATGTCCTTAGTTCCTCCTCTAGGGAGTTATTCTGTGGATGCACAAGCACACAGACAGAGGGATAAACATGGGAGGATGTCCATCTCGGCATTGTTGGTAACAACAGTGACGATTCTGAAAGCCATGAAATCCAAAATGTCCATCTGCCGTGGTTAAGGAGTTATAGTACATCTACATACGCAGCTGGCAAAAAGAATTAGGGACAGGTGTGTAGGATATATCATTAGGTAAATAAAGCAAGCTGCAGAAGTGTGTGTGTATATATATATAATATGATAAATGTATATAATATATAATGATCTTGTGTAAAAGTAACAAATGTTTTAAATATTCTTATAAATGCTTCTCAAAGTTCTGAGAAAACACCAAAGAACCTGGGGCCTACTAAGTTCTGACTTTTACCCTTTGAACTATCTGAATGTCTTCAACAAGCATACACTCTTTTTTTTTTTTTAAGATTTTATTTATTTATCTTTAGAGGGGAAGGGAAGGAGAGAGGGAGAGAAATATCAATGTATGGTTGCCTTTTGTGTGTCCCCTGCCGGGAACTGGCCTGCAACCCAGGCATGTGCCCTGACTGGGAATCAAACCGCAATTGTCTGGTTCGCAGGCCCGTGCTCAATCCACTGAGCTACACCAGCCAGGTCAAGCATGCATCCTTTATCACTTAAAAAAAGTCACCTCATCTTATACACTGACTACTGAAGCATCCCCACCAAGTGGTCACCCTGGCTTTCCTAGAACACTTCCAGGGACAGAGAACTCATTACCTCTTAACTATCAGTGTTTTGACCAGTACCCCTCCCCCCACAGATGGTAATTCTTTTCTATGTAGTATGACCTAGGATCCCAGAGGCGAGATCCATCAATATTGTCTTGAGGGCCCTGGAGAAGGGAGGCACACAATTTTAACAGATAATTCTTTTTTTTAACAGATAATTCTTGATAATTTTTCAGTTAAAACAATTTTTTTTGATGATATAAACAGAAACTAGTTGGAGTATATATGTCTTCTGGGAAAAGTCTTCAAGATACTAGAGGAAGAAAATGAAAGACATCTCAGGGTGCCATTTTAAGGAGGATATGAAGGGTGTGGATAACAAAAGGGCCTTGTTTTCAAGGAACCCAATATGTGGATGGGGGTGTGGGTACCACGCACACTTGAGCATACATGAATGAGAGCACTGTTAAACACCAGGGAAAGGAAAAATCAGTAAATGCCAACTGGAATGCAATGATGTCGACTGGGTCCGTGGGAGTGCTGGCTGGAGCTAATGGACTCTGTCTGGGTGAGAAATGAAGAGAGGGTAGGTGAGGGGATGGGGGCATTGGTGGTAAGAGGAAGTGGCATGAGTGGAGGTGGGAACCCACAGGGACAGTGGGTGTGAGCAGGCCTGCCTGATGGTGGAAGGCATTTGGGGAACCCTTCCTCCTATTTCAGGATGATGCCCAAAGGAAGACTCACGCCCATGCAACATGTCCCTGGGGCCTTCTTGCTGAGCCCCAGCAGCCAGTCCTGCGGATTCACCCATGGCAACGCCTGGGCCTGTGTGCGTGTCTTTCCTAAAGTCCCTTTCACCCAACAGGGCTGTGAACTGGAAGAATGTTGACTTGGTACTGTGTGAAACGTGGAAAGTCGATGCAGTGACTTAGAATATTCTTTTTATTTATTTATTTATTTAAAAAACCATTTTTACTCTTTATATATCAGAAGTGAGAAAAGCATATAACTCAACACAATTTCAAGAACATTGGACCCCACATTTGGGTAAACTTTGTGAGTACGGCGTGTGGATATCACAGTCCAGTGCATAATGAAAAAAGAAAAAAAAGAACCGAGATTTCTCACTGTGGAGTGGGATGATGGGGGTCCCATCAGACTGCATTCATTCAACATCTAGGTGCAATTCTTCAACAAACTGGTCTTCATGCCATAACCCCTAGCTTAGTTAGTTTTCAGAAAGATTATCTGACTAGGGTAGTTGAGCCGGAATTTGCTGTCTCTTTCCCTCATTCCCTCTCATTTTCTCTCTCCCTCTCTCTCTCACGTATCCACTGCTCACACACAGCAGCCGGAAATGACACATTGAAGTGAGTCACCAATGCAGCTGTGAGTCACCCTATAATTGAGGAAAGTTCTGTCCTGCTAGGTCGTGCATCCGCTTGCACTCCTGCTCCTAAATATATTGGAAAATTTTGAAACCACTCAGTCCTCAAGCTAATCTCTCTCACCCAACACATCCTTTTGGTCCCTAAAGTGGATGAAGTTGGATAATCTTGGCGGGGGTCCTAATCCATCCCGTGCAAAGGCAAGGAAAGAAGAGCGATGGGCTTCAGGCAGCCACAAGGTGGCAGTGTGAGCCCCTTGTGCTCGCTGCCCACAGGGGCGTGGCAGATAAGTGGCCAGACTCCTGAGATGCAATGACACAGACCACAAAGGAACATTCTAAGCAAGTTTAAGTAATACGCTTTTCTTAATAGTCCTCTTTCTCTCTAACAGGCATCCAAGAATGTGATAAATATTCAAGCACACCTCTGGCATCCCACCCTCCCCACTAGGAGATTGGAGCCAAGAGCCAGGCATACCTTCTTCTATTCCTGCAAAATAAAGTTTGTGAGAAGCAGAAGCCTGCTTCTATAAGTAAACAAGTCACCTACACTCTGAACATATGCTCGCTGTTTCTGGGGAGGGAGACGGCTGGGTGGATCTCTGCACCGGGTGGGCAATTGCTCTGCCGTTCCACAGCACCTCTGAGCGGAGGAGGACGAACCTTGCAGTGGAAGAGTGTCTCTTCCATTGGTTTTCTCTGGCCTGCCGCCAGCCTCCTCAGCAGTGGCAGACAGTGCAAGAGTGATGGCAGCGTGTCTGGAACACAAATAGTTGCTACCAAGCACACGAAAGCTCCTGTAAAGCCTTATGGTGCCACCCTGCCAGGCCTCAGTGGGATCCAGGTGGAAGACCCAGGCAGGCAGAGCAGCTGCACAAGTGGCTCTGAGAGTCTCACAGTCTGGTTTGGCCACCTTCAGGGAGCCATGCTTCAGAGGTCCCTCCCGGGGTCTCCACTGGGGAGTTTTACTGAGAGGTCCTCTTTCTCTTCCCTTGGGAGAGGCTGAGGTCTAGAAGGCAGATTTACCATTTAAAACAAAAAGACCAAAAAAAAAAAAAAGGCAAATGTCTTCTCTTTTTCCAGAAAGATTGATTAAAATAGAAGTTCTTTTCTTCAGAGTTTCTTCTCTGATATATCTCCAGTTCTGTCCCAGATGAGGGTTTCACGGTCAAGGTTCCATTACTTGGCCCATGAAAAGGACCGTTCCTGAGGATGGAAGAATCACAGGAGGTGAGAATTGGAAGGAATGGCATGGCTCACCAAGCTTGAAGTTTATGGATGAACTAAGATGTGAGAAGATGAATGAGATGTCTGGAGTCACAGCAGCTTTAGTGACTAAGCTAGGATGGGGGTCCTGGCACAGCCCTCTGTCTGTGATATAGCACTGCCTCTGAGGAGGGGAAGAGGAACAGAGCTATGGGTTTCTTGCCCAGAGTTCCAGGGCAAGAGTGGTGTCTACACCGGAATGGACTGGTACCCAAATGGGGGTGCATCATGGGCCCGGCTCACCTGTGGGGTTGTGCCGCACCACAAAGAGGAAGGGTCTGTCCATGATGATCTCCTCAGGGGCCATTCGGGCTGAGACAGTAATGGCTGGAAGAGAGGGGACAGTGTCTTAGAACAGAGGGATGTCGGCACTGTTTCCTGGGTTGGTCACAAGTGATCCATTGACATCAGCCTTCCGTCTGGTGGCAACACTGGGGGCTGATTTTTAGGAGGCCCTGTTGTTCTGTTGGACATGAACCCTAAAAGTTTAGGGAAGTCCTCTAAGGCCTGGTTTTCTCCAGGAGTTTGGAAGAGATCTATCAGCTGCTCTATTACAAACAGACAGTTACAACCCTTTCAGGCCATATTGATAAGCAAGTTCCTTAAGTTGATTTAGCCACTGTGAGAGCAACCCAGGACCTTTCCTTTAGGAAGCCTTTCAAATTCAGGGACCTCAGGAGCCACTGGGCCCATTTTCTAGGCCAAGAAACACTAGTGAGGAAAAGGCGATACTCCCCGCACAGGAAGTGCTGCTTTTGAGGAGAGGCTTAGTGGAATAGAGCAGAGGGGGTTCATCCTGGGTTTAGGTGCCATAGTGGCCCCTTCTGTAAGCCTCGGGCTGAGACTCGCCAGGCCTCACCGAAGCCCGACTCACCTGTAGAGGAGGATGCCACCGTGCCCTTCTCATTCACCTTGATCTTCACTTTTTGTAGCGCCTGAGATACGTAGAGAAGCTCTTGATCTGAAATGGGTGGATGCAAGAGTACATCAGCCATGGTTTTCAGGGAAAAGCTCCTTTGTCCCCTAAGGGGCCTCACAGCCCACCAGGATAAGAGAGTGAAACGAAAACCTCTTACCTGAAAAACTGGAGAAGTCCGCCTGGCTTGGACTAAACATGTTAGTCATCCCCAAATTCTCCAAGGGCCTCCTGAGGTCAACTTCACTCTCGAGGGAGAACCTATAGACAGGAGCAAGAAACAGCGTAAGCTCAGGCTGCCTCTGGCCACCTCTCCACGTCCCTACCAGGCAGCCTGACAGGACTGGGCTGATGGGACAGTAAAAGAGGGAGGCTTGTTACTTCAAATCTCTCTTCAAAGCCTCTCTGCTTGCTAGAGGTTCTAATATTAATGAACATTCTTTTGTAATCTCCCAATCCGCTTGAACTTATGACTAACTACTTTTCTTAAATAAGGCAGTAGTTATTCAGTCTGGCTTGGAGGGGGGAACAGCACGGGGGGGCATGGGCAAATTCTCCTGCAAGGCTATTTGAACAAAAATCTGCTCTGTAGATTGCATTTCTGAGAGTTAACCCTGAAGAGGACTGGAGCTGCGAGCCTTCAGGGTGCTCTCTGCTTCCCACCAGGGCACAGCTAGTCACCTCAATTTCTGAGAGAGGGTGGGAGGGAGAGAAGAAGAGAGAGAGAGAACAAACCAACTCAGTTTTTCTCTTCCCCAGAGCCTGACATTAGAGTGTACGGAAATTTGAGGTAAGCATGATGGGTGGGAGGCTTCCCTACAATTCTGGAATTACCAGCCTCAGCCTTCTCCACCCCGTTGGCTTCTGCAGAAGAATTTTAAAAACTTGCTTTGTTGGAAGCCAGCTAGAAGCTACAGTTCCAGCCATTCCATCTGCAGAAGTTATTCCTTTTGTCCCCATTGTTTGGATGTTGACTTGGGGAGATGGAGGTGGGAGTGAGGGTCGTTCATAAAAAGGTGAAGGCAGACTTAGCCTCCCACCTCCCTCATTTCTCTGGCTCTTCCTTTGGCTGGCTTTTGCTGTATATTTTGAGAGAGGTTTATGCCAGGGCACAGCCTAGAAAACTCCTTGCCCTCCAGCAGAAATGGGATGGGGAAAGACATCTTAATCAAACCCAGGCCAGAGTGTTTCCCATAACCTCCCACACATAACCCTGACCTGCAAGCATCACATTTGGGAAAATCAATGTGGGGGTGGTGCTTTTAGGAGAGAGTGGAGGCAGGAGATAGAAGGGATTAGGGTGTTAGCAGGGGGTGGGGCTTACTTGGGCAGAACCAGGAGACGGGGCAGGGAGGTCATATTCCCTTTCCAGTGGCTGATGAGCTGGGCATCCAGAATGTTGGTGAGGGCAGAGAGAGGCACCTCTTTTTCGTACGGAGCAGCAATGAACATGCTGAGGGTGTCCCCATGGTAGGGCAATTCCAGGATGTCATAGTAATGGCCATCGGGGGTGGAAAACTCGGCTGTGAAGACACCAAGATGGCACATTGAAATGGCTCCAGCCCTTGTTGATTCTGACCCAGCACTGGGTTTTCAACAGGTTCTTCTGTCCCCTCCACTCTTTCCGGAAGCCAGCTCTCCGTTCTGGCTTCTGTTGCTCCCACGCCCACCACTCCCCTGTTCAGTGTTTTCATTTCTATTGCCCTTATTTTCTGCCAATTCAGTGTCTTTTGGCTTCTGTTTCTTTCTGGCTTTCTGTATATTCACCCCCCTCCCCCATACCCAACCCCTAATTCATTCCAATCCTCCTCTCCTGCATCTCAACTTCCACACAGCCACCCCCCAGCAGGATCTGTAGTCAGTCCAGAAACACCTGAGGGTGAGAGACAGGGTTCAATGGTCAAATGTGGGCCTGAGAGAATTGCTGGATTTCAGCTTCATCTTGTATCAAATGAAGCTACTGCTGCTCCAATTAGCCTAGTGTTTCTTATTTGGGAAGTGTTTGTTAAAGCTGAGGTATATTCCAGGGTTCCTCTTCCTTTAGAGGGGGACACCCAGGGATGACTTCCAGTAGGGACTTGGGGAAGGGAGTCTCACACTTACTGTAATTGAACTTGTTGGTCTGAGCCATCATGGGCACCGAGACAGTGCTGCCATCAGACTTGTGGAAGAGGCGGTGGTGGGTGCCCCGCTCTGGGAAGGGTGTCTTCCAGTGGCCATTGAAGTACAGGGCATTCACCAGCACCAGGCGCGTCAGCTGGTCCACAGCCCCTTCACCAAGTAAGTCATTAATCATGCCTGTGGGAAAACCAGGTGATGAGAAGCTAGATATTTTTAAAACCCTCTTATATAGATCCTTTCAGCTCCCAGGCCTCAAATGGACGTGTGTCTGTTGAAGCAATCCTGTCAGAAGATAGCCTGGGAGTTGAAGTGAACCGATCCACCTGTTTTCAACACACTCCAACTTTCTAAGGGTCTCAGAAAGCCTCCTAGCTCACCACACTTTCTCGGGCCTGGGATCCTGTCCGGGATCAGACTTGGGAATTTAAGTCTCCCCTCACTCTGCTCCCTAAGCTGGAGTCTTGATGGGTTGTGTGTACTCATCATGGTTATTAACATTCCAATGAAATCCTACAACACTTGTTAGGGATGCCTTTAGAGTTGGTTCATGAGAAGGCCCAATTCTGGAAAATGTGACAGTGATGCTTAAAGCACCTGGCCTTTAGCCTAGGTGCTAGGCTAGAGATGCTGAAAGGGAGAGGTTGGGATATTTGGGATTTGTTTCCAAATCCCCCTTCTTGGCAGGCTCTTGGGGACCAGCCCCCTCTCCCTGCCTGCTCACCTTTCGTGTGTCTCTTCACCCAGTCATTGATGATGAACCTGGCTCTCTCTATCTCTGAGAAGTCCACCTGCTTGACTGTGGTCTGAAACAGCCTGAAGAAGTGAGGCATGAAGCCTTGAACCAGCTTCAGATCCCGCTGCACAAAGATGGCGTCGGCAATGCTGATCTCGTCCTTGTTCCATGGCCCCATGAGTTCCTTGTACAGTTGACGGAGGGCAGGGGCCACACCCTTCTCTGTGCCAGTGGGAGAAAGGACACATCAGGCTCCTGTTCAGCCAAGGGGTCCCAGCTGGACCAACTTCCCCCATGAGAGACCTCACCCTGCCTTCATGAATGGGGCGCTTCTGTTCTCCCAGGTGTGTCTGGAAGGAGAGTTCATTCTGAACCTTAATCTCTTCTGCATCCCCCTCTTTTTTCTCAAAAATCTCAGGTCCTAACCCTTTTGGGGGGTTAGAATATTTTTCTGATTTTAACTTACAGACCCTAATCTTTTCTTTTAATACTAATAATAGCTACACAAAGCACTTCAAACACACAATTCTTTTTAGTCCTTACAGCAGCCCTCTGTGTTAGATGCTCTCCTTTTAAAAAGTTTTATTTATTCATTTATTTCTAGAGAGAGGGGAAGGGAGGAAGAAAAAGGGGGGAAAGAAACATCAATCAGCTGCCCGCTGCAAGCCCTCAACCAGGGGGCTGGGCCCTCAGCCCAGGCATGCGCCCTGATCAGGAATTGAACCGGCAACCTTTCAGTTTGCAGGACAATGCCCAGCCCACTGAGCCACATTAGTCAGGGCTATACTACGTACTTTTATTAATCCCAATTGTAAATGAGGAAACTGAGCCTCAGAGGGGCTAAAGTTATGCAGCTAATACGTGGTGGTACAAGGCTCTTTGACACCAAATCCGCTGGCCCGTGTGCTCTTTGACTAGTCAAGGGCCAAGTGACACAGGAATGGCAGTCCCTATGCCATGGCAGTACAGGTGTTGGCTCAGCTACGCTGCAGTCAGCCTTTCCTCTGATTCTGGTGGGCTACACCCCCGTTCTGGGAAGGATGTGTGAGTGCCTGCCTCCTACTTTGCCCCATCTCTCACCTTCAATCTCGAATTGCATTGCCGCATGGATCTGCTGCCTGGTTTCTCCTCCTGTAGTTGGCTGTAGCATGGCCAGGACCGAGGCCACCCCATAGGGTGAGAAAACCACGTTGCGGTCCTTAGAGGCCTGTGCCACCTGCTGAAACACCTTCACTCCGAAGTCTGTGGCCAGTTGGGCCACCTGAGACTGGTGGTGGTACAAGGCATATCCTTCACCGAAGATGAGGGCCAGGCCCAGAGTTAGGCTGACAAAGACTGGAGACATGTGCATCCTAGAGCAAGTGCGAAAGAATCTGATGAGGGAAAGATTCTAGAAGAATGGCGAACGGGGAGGGGAGACAACATCCCAGCCGTGGGCCGGGCTTCCTGTGTTTGCTGCTGACAGGTGCCAAGAAAATACAAGGGCAAAATTCATTAAGAAACCATGACAGGTTCAGATCCTGCAATCACTGCTATGGCGGGGGCAACTTAGGGCAGCAGGTCTCGGGGTAGGGGGTGGACAGAGGCAAAGTGGGGGTCTTGGACTGGGAGATTCTGTGGAAGGGTATTCTCTATCTCAACCCAAAGGGAGAGATGGAGAGAGTTTGTTTTTCTCTTACCTGAAGTTCTCAAGTTGCCGTGTGCCTGGAGGTTTGTGCTGGTGCTGCTGATTGTGGTGATTCCGATGCTAAAGAGGGCACGTCTCTCTCTTGACAGTGTCCTAGACTCTGCAGCCAGATACAACTGTGCTGCTACGGAGGCAGCTGCCTCCCTTTATACCAGAAGTCGGCAGGAAATAGATGAACTCATGGCTCGGCCCCTCCCACTTTCTGGCTCTGGGAGGCTGACTTGCTGAGGCCTGTGTGTGCGTGGTGCTGCTGTGTGTGTATGTGTGTGAGAGGGCCCAGGAACAACTGAGCAAACCCTGACAGGCTTGGCCCAGGGGCCTCCTCGGAATTTGCTGCCTTTCACCTGCGTCCCTCTCTCTTTGGATTGCATAAGTCCGCCTGGCCGTGGGTGGGCAGGGCCAGACAGCCCGAAGCGCCCAGTGTTTGAGATTGCCTTCCCCCGTGCTCAGCTTGGGGAAAAACGGTTTACGTTTCCTCCTTTTCCTTTGGGGAAATAGGTCGCCACAGAGTTATCAGAGAAGCTAACGATCCTCTGAACTTGTGTCTGCCAGCATAGGCCACCCCATGCACATGCCCTCCCTCCTCTTGGCCACGTCCCAGCGACCACAAGGCACGGAGCGTGCCATGTGATTGTCTGGGTTTTCACTGTCTAAGACATGAGCCTGGCAGAGGACTCCCTCCTGTCTTTCCCTCTGCCCTTTCCAGTGTGGGATGATGCATGGCTGACTCTCCCACGTGTCCAGACTCTGAGGGGCCCCTGAGGGCTCTCTTTTGTGTCAATAGCCCTGTCTGGCCTGGCTTTGAGGTGTGCTGGGTGGGGTGATAGAGAGACCAGGAGTTACAGGAGTAAAGTCTTGCCAAGGAATTAGGTGCCCAACATGAAAGTTCTGTTTCTCTGAGATGCCTGCTGTGACTGGGGAAAACTAAGTCTTATCCTTTTCCTCCAGATACAGACACTTGGAGGGCCGGAGCCGCACTACTAGGGATAGAAGCGAGGGCATCGGTTCCTGGCTGGTTTGTGGGGTGTGTTCTTAAGGCATTGAGTTAGAAGTGGAAGAGTGACCCAGGAATCTACAGAATGTGGGGACTGGTTAGAAGCGAGTGTGTGGGACTGGGTGAGTGCATTTGGGGGCCTGGCAGGGTCGGGGACCCTTGGAGGTGAGGCCCAGTTGTTGTGGACAGAGAGGCTGGATGGCAAGGGGTCCTGAGGGGTGGAAATGCTTCACTTGACCTGGGGGCCACACACTGTCATGATTTGTGTAGGTGGAAGGGTTCAAGTGGGAGTATCCATGGAGACGGCCCATACAGCTCCACAGCAAGTTGAAGTGGGCGGGAGCGTCAAGATATTTGTTTTGGATTTTTTCAGTAAACAGATGCCAGAGCAACCACAGCTGGACGGCTTCCCCACGTTTGCTTTGACTCTGCCTTTGTTTTCCCTGTCGCCCCTGGGAGTCAGGTAGGGATGCAGGATGACAGGGAGAAAGGGACAACCTCCTTCGGAAAGTTAGGATCACTGACCCTTTACAGGACTGTTGCCATGTGGCTGCTTCTGGTTTGTTCCCTTTCATTTTCTTGGTGGCGGTTTGGAGTCCCTGAGAGAGTGGCTAGCTATGAGGAGGAAGTAGTCACCCTGACTTCGCTCAGGTGGGGAGAACGAGAGTCCAGCCCAGCAACCCCCCATCTCCTATCCCCAGAAATACCCCCAGCACCTTGGCCTCCATCCTTGGGGTTCCAAGGGAGACGGGCTCTTGGGAATCTGGGTTGGGTGTGCCCAGTCCCAAGTCAGAAGAGTAGTGGGTTGAGACTCCGCCGAACCTGCTCCCACCTTTGCGCCTCTCTGCCTGGCCTCTCCAGCTGCCTCAGCTGAGCCTCCTTCCTTTGCTCCATTGGCTATTCCAGCAGCCTTTGTCCATTGCCTTGCCAGGCTTCAGCTGTAAAAGCCCTTGCTATTTTCTGTGGATGGCTAGGGCCCTGCCAAGGCCGTGAAGAATTCCGTCCCCACTCCTGGACCTGATGGATGATCCTGATACCATTCCAGAAAAGACACTCCGTTCCTAGGCACAGGAGCCTGGGAGCAGCTCTGTGTCCTGTTGGAAGGAGAGGGGGCACCATACATTAGAAACAGAGAGGGCTGACTTACTAAGGGGTCTGTTCCTAAACTGGAGGGACTCGTAGGCACCTGGTGTGTGTGTATCAGAAAGTGAGGCAAAGCCTAATATAAGTCCCACGCCAGAGTTTCTGATGAGCTGGGGCCACTGGATGATCTAAACCCAGACTAGATTGTGGTCCCTGCTGCTTCTCTCTGTGAGATGGCATTGCCTCAACCCTGTCTGTCCTCTGGAGACCTCACACGTGACGATGCTGCCTGACCACCCAGTGCCCCCCAGGAGGCCTCCCTGACCCCGAGGAGAACTTCCTGCAATGCCTGTCTCAGAATCTAGCCTGACTCAAGGGGCTGTCACTTTCTCTCCTTTCCCTGAACCTGCTGAAGTAACACCCTTGACCCAATCACCTCTTTCAAGCCTTGGCTGTTTTGTAAGGGGTCAAATGGACAGAAAGAGAAAAGTCCCTGCTGTTGAAATAGCTGAATCTCTGATTTCGGGAGAGTCAGAGATAAGAGGATGAGTTACAGGGTTGTGAATTTTAGGGGAAGTTCCAGTTCCAGCCAGCTGGGAAAGATGTCTCCATCCGTCCCTCAGCAGGTGGTTCGTGAGTAGACCAGCCTCACACTTTCCATGACCGACCACCGCGCCCCCCCATCACACATCCCCATGCCCTCAGTCCGGGCCTCAGTCAACCTCCGACCCTTCACCTCCCGCCCTCCAGCTGTCCCCTTGCCTGCACTCGGCTCTTCCCCTTGGCTTCTCCGTTGCTCTCCCAATACCAGCCACCTGCCCTCTTTTTCACTTCCTCCTTCGTGATTTCTTCTACTCAACCCTCCATCTGTGGGGCTACTGCCCATTCCTTCCCCAGATCTCAAGCCTCAGCCACATAAGCTCTCTCCCCATTTTCCCACTCTTTCTTTTCCACTCTCTATGACTCAATCCCTCTTTCCCTCCCCTCTTCCAGAATCCCTTTTACAGCCAAATACTCTGATCCAAGCCTTCCGGTGAGGAGGAGAATGCTGCCTCCTATCAGTTACACAGCCTGCTTGGAATGTTGGAGCCGGCCTCCTGATTCTTGGTGATTTCACTGGGAGAGCTGGGGGTGGAAGGACAGGGTCCTGCTAACTCACACCACTATTTCTGGCCTGGTTGCTCTCCAAACAACACAACACCAAAAATAGCCCGCATTTGGGCTGGGCTAGCTCTGCTCCTCTCCTCGGAGCGAGCTCAGGGGATGGCTGTGTGTCTCATCCTCTTAAGATCACGGCCTTGGGATGGCCTGAAGAATCTTGGCCCATCCGGGGTTCTTCCCCGCACTGGTGCCACACATGCCTCCCCTCCTCTGCCTCCACAGCCCCTGTCCTTTCTGTCTTCTCCAGCTGCTACCAGCCATGTCTCCTAAAACTGTCACAGCACTGAAACCTGCGTCCCCCCATGGGGTAACCCTTGCTTTCCACAGTTGCTCTTTTCTCCATGTATATGTAGAGTTCCAGGGACGGGGAAGGCTCTCAGAACCCGTAACCCAGCCCTTTGAACTTGCAGGTGAAGGCTCTGCAGCCCAGAGAGGCTGGGCAACGTATCTGAAGTCACACAGTGACACGCCGCCATGGGAGAACAGCGCTCAGTGGCGCACAGACCCAGCCTGGACGGGGGGGCCAGCACTTAGCTGGTTACATGTCTGTAGGCAAAACGTCTGTGAGCCTTAGTTTTCTGATTTGTGGATAGGTATGTAAATAGGGGTTTGTAGACGGGTAGTTGATGATTTCCATCCTTCAGGGCTGTTGTGAGCAGTAAATAAAATATTGTCTGTCACTGTCCCCTGTATTCCAGGCCTCCTCTAAGTGGCGGCCGCTCTCGGTTGTGGCGGAGCCAGGACAGGAACCCGGACATCTTGGGCTGTCACTGTGGATGCAACCCAAGCTCCTCGTTTCTCCTGGTGTCAGGTGTCAGCAATTAGTGGAGTAGATTAAATCCCTGGGAAGTTGACTGGCTTACCTGAGAGAATGGCGGCCTGGCCATTTCAGACCAGACCCTCCGGCTTCCACCCAGGCCTTGATACGCTCCCACTGGCCACCATGAGGGTTTTAGATCCCCAGAAGATTTTTCTCTCTCACTGTGGGGCCGTTTGACACATGTCCTGGTCCGTTCAGGGTACTAGGAATTTGGGGGTTGGGGAAGTTTTTTCCTGTTTTACCAACAGGTGAGAAGAGAGCTGAACTTGGTTGGCTCACCCTTCTAGTCTCGGTCCTCTGATCCGTCCTCGGCCACTCATGTCTGCTGTCTCTTGGTGACCCCTCTACAGCACCCCGTAATCCCATAACCCTTTAACCACTTATATGCACAGCCCCTCGTCTCACAGTCATTTCTCTACCTATCCTGAAATTTACTGCGGCCGTTGCCATGGCCTGTTTATGTTCATTCCCCAGGCGGAGGTAAGCGGGCACTATCTGCCTGAGGGGCCTCTCATAATGTCGGAGTTTGATGCGCACCAGAGACCCACACAATCTCGCAGCCCCCCCTCCCCCCAGCAAGAATGAGCCTCCTGTCTTTGGGGAAAGAGACACAGGGAGCAACTGGGGCTGCATATGGCCACACGGGGAAGTTCGGGGCCGGGCCGGGTGGAATGTGCGATTTCTGGGGTAGATATGATCACAGAGCCCGGTGGTGTCGGTCAGGATGAGGCATGGAGGCCTCAGGGCTCCCCCAGCGCCTCCGGTCACATTCCGCCTCTCGCCCCACTTCTCTGTACCGATGTATCTGATGCTAACTCTGATTCACTTCTTTCTTCTTTACCAGAACTCGTTCCTCATTCTCTGCATTCCTGGTCTCCCTCCGTACCTTTCCCTGGACACCGTGTTTTATTTTACCCCAGCCGTTGTGGGAATCTTGGCTTGCTCACTAAAATGGTCAAACGTTGATTGATAATCAATGCCCAACGGCATGATTCACCATTAAATACAGACTTCTCCCTTTCCTGAATGTATACGCTTATCAAGAAAGAAGATTACGTACATCCAATAACTAGATTAAAATGTAAAGCTGTCTGAGTGCTACGCTGTAAGACGGAGGTTGTCCAGGTGGAGGGAAGGCTGCCGGGAGGAAGAGGGACGGATGATGGATTAGGAGGAGAGGCAGGGCGGCCTCAGCGGGGAGGCCGAGGACAATGCGTGTGTGCTGGGGGCGGGGAGCGGGTGGGGAGTGAGGTACAGGGTCCAGGAGAGGGAGGGAGGAAAACGCCCCCACCCCAGTTCCACCAGTCTTCATCTCCAGGGAGCGCCCTCTCTGCCTAAGGCCTCCCTTCTGCATCTCTCTTCACGGGCTTTTCTGTCACAGTTCTCTGCTCTTTCTGCACCCTCCTCCCGCCCCCTTGTAATATTCTAGTCTCAGTCCTGGCTCTGGATACAAACAGTGTACTGAGCTGGGCAGAAGCCCAGACAGATGATGACCCGGGGTCAGTGGGGAATATGTGGGTGGTGGAGGTCCCAGGGATGAAGCACCCTGGTCATACAGCCCAGATGGACTTTGCCACCGAAGAGCCAGGGAAGTCCCTGACTGTTCCTTCTCTTACTTCCTCACTGCATGGAAGCAGGATCCATTCCGCATAACTCTTCATCTGAGTCACCCTGAGCTACCCGCTGGCTTGGCTAGTAACACAGTTGGGCTGCTGGCTTGCTTGCTTGAATCAAGTGGGCCCCGGGACCCTCCCATACCCGCCGTGGTTATGTGCCGTAAGGACTGGGAAGAGTGAGTGTGACGTGTGAAGCAAAGGGAACAGGAAGGCCTTAGCCTGATCAGGGAGGTCATGGGGTCAGCTGCCTTCCCCGGATGCTCCAGCACGGCGAGTCCTGGAGCAGCTTGTTTGGATCTCTTCCGGGCTGGGTTTGAAGCCTTTCAGAGATGTGGAGCCTGGGCATGTCCTGTCTTCAAGGAGTTTACACTGTCTTGAGCAGACCCTCTTACCCCCGGGCCAGCTGGGGGCCACCTGAAGGAACTTTGCCAACTATTCTCACTCTCGCCTTCTCATTTCCTGTTTCTGTGCCCACTCCTTTCTCTGGAGCACCCAGACCCTCCACGCCTTATGTCCTCACTGCTGCTTCCTCTTGACCTTATAGAGCCACCCTGATTAGGAAAGGCAGCCCAGGGAGACCCATCACCACAGAAGGTTGCCCTCCCTTCCAGCTAAGCATTCAATCAGACCTGCTCTCTGAGCCAGGTGGGTTTGCCCTCAGCGCGGGATTCTCTGATGGTCGTCCCTGTGAGCAGACGGACCGGCTCCAGTTTCCAGGGCAATTTGAACAAATCATTTTACCTTCCTAGAGCCTCCGTCTCCTCAGACACCATGGGTCTGAGGAGGTTTTTCTGAGGAAAGAGGCAGGCGTGGCCTGAGGACTAGGAGGAAACCCTGGGAGACTTCCCTCGTACCCCTGAGGCTCACTTTTCTCCTCTGCAAAGTGAGGAGAATGATGCCAAGTTTCAAAGGACGGCATGAATGAAATGATCGGCTGTATGTATCCACAGAGGGGAAGTGGTCAGCAAGTTTCAGTTAACTCTAACAACTGTAGGGTTTCTCTTTCTTCTTTGTTTGCTGAGGGTAGGGACAGAGACTCCGGTACTAGAGAAGGGTCAGCTAATCAGGCCCTCAGGTAAGGAATGCCAGGCATGCATCGTGGGGCTAACAGGGCCTGCACCGCGGCCTGCACCAAGGCTCTGGCCCATGTCAGCCATGGGCAGAGGAGGCCAGGTCCTGTGGATGCCTGAATAAAAGAGTCATCACTGTGTTAAAACTTCGATCTAAAGCAGGTGCTCAAGGCTGGCAATGCCTGGCCCCTGCTCTTCCCAGGACCCACGATTATAACATGTCTTCCTCTTACTGGGGTGGGGGGGCTTGCTGTGCACCCACATCTGTGTCAGGAACTAACAGGATTGTATGAGTAAAGGCTGATGCAGGTGCAACTAGTATTATTCACATCACAGCTCTGCCTTGGGGGGCAAATGAGGGAGGGGGGGCTGGTGGGGGTGAAGGGCGCTGAGCTGGCAGATGTGAGGCAGTTCAGACCTGACAGAAGGGCTCCAGGGCTGACGGGGCAGGCTGACCTGGGCAGGTCTGACATCCCAGGAATCGGACTTGGGCCCTTTGCTGGAGCTGGTGTCTAGGCCAAGGTCTAGGACAGGACAAGGAGGCATGAAACACCCCCTCCACACTTGCCTCTTCTCCCACCTTGCACAGGAAGTGCCACGGGCAGGGAAATTGGCACAGACTGGGCAGTCCTGTCCCCGACCCCCTGCCCTGTGACTACATTGGAGATTGGCCTTAACCTTGGTCTGTTTGTCTGTCCGTCTGTGCTCCTTGCCTTCCTTAGTGCCAGGAGTGTCTTGCATCGAATATAGGGTGAAACTGAGTGGGGAGTATAAAGTCCAAGGTTGTAGGGCATGTCCCCATCTAAGTGGAACCTCCTCACGTGTCCACCCTGGGCTGGCTCCCCGGGGCTCACACTGCCCCACTGCATGCACCGCTGGCCCCACAAGGAGAGGCCCCGAGACTCTGACCAAGAAGGAACATCAGCTTCCTGCTTCCTGCTTCCACCCTTCGCTGCCCTCCACAAACCAGTCGAGGTCCTGGCTGGTAGCCAGCACTGTCTGGACAGGAGGAAACCGGTATATGAGGAATGGCGGGGGGAGCAGCAGCCAGAGTAACACAGAACACTGAGTTCTCAAGAGCAGAAATTCCACCGGAAAGAAAACAATGCGCAGGGGACAGAGTCACCGTCCAGGGAGTAAGGGGTCAAGGAAAGGAACAGGGCTTTCCTGCCCTAAGCAGATAAACAACCCTGGCCTGGGGAAGCCCTGCCATGAACTGTCTTCCAGGTATGCAGGCTGCAGTGGCAAGCTGGGGGTCGGGGTCCCACCTAGAACAACTAGAAGAAAGGGTTCCCTGTACCCTTTCTGGACTTCTAAGGTAGAGGAGCTCCTGGGAGGGAGAAACCGAGTGCTCCGCCTAGGCCAGGAGGATCACGGAGAAGCTAAGGGCAGAAGTGAAAGAGCATCTGGCAAAGAAGCCTCGCCTCGCTGAGGCCAGGATAGCCACAGCCCCAAGGGCCAGCTGGGTGCCAGAAGCCCAGTAAGACAGCCCTGGGTTCCAGCGGAGGCTTTGCAGAGGCTAGAGCCTGAGGGAGCTCCACTAAGGATGAAGGAGGTCAGGCCAAGTCAGAGTGGAGGCCAGCCCAGGGCTTCCCACGGTGTATGGTGCTAGAGGGAAGCTTCTTCCTCTTTCAGGGCCCAGAAGAAGTCTACATCTGGGAGGGGCAGAAAGAAATGCCCCTCCAGGCTGCAGTGCCCCTACAACCCCCTTCAGCCTCCCACGCGGGTAAGGCCGATGGAAAGAGAGATGCCGAGCATCGGAAAACTTGTGCGAGGCAGACTGGATTTGTGGTCGCCCCTGTTAATTTAGTTTATTGGGGTGGTTTCTGATCTGCAAATTCATTTATTTCTAAGATGTTGTAGTCTGCACGCCTTTGCTTCAGAGTTTCAGGCAACGCTCCCTTTCCCAGACTGCAGCAGTAACAATGGCTAATGCGTGAGAGCAGCTGCTGCCTGCCAGGCCCTGAGGTAGCCCACTCACGACCTTAGTTCACTCCCACACGGCTCAGAGACATTGAGTGGCACTGTCCCCCTTCTATAGATGAGGAAACCAACACGCAGATGACTTGGGTCTCTTGCTCAGGGTCACTCAGCTAAGGAGAGGAGCTGGCCCGGTGCCCCCAGCTCTTAATCAGCCTCCGCTGTTTTTCAGTGCCTCGGCTGTCCCTCCAGTGCCCCCCATGCCTGTCCCCTAAGCCCCCCAACCCAGGAGAGGCCCAGTTCCCTCCCTCATTGTGTGTCCCCTTTTCCCCTTCCCATCCTGACTCCTTTCAGAACTCTTCCGACCAAAGTGTCGTCCCCTCCCTTCCCCCAGATCTGCTGCTAGGCAAGGAATGGATTCCAACTCAGGCCTTAATGATTTACTGTTTTAAACCCTCCCAGGTTACGTTCACTTTAGAATTGAGACATTCTGTGGCTTGGTCCTGTGGTTCTCAACCCAAGGGCACACGAGGCTCACCCAGTAGCTTTTGAAAAGTCCTGAGACGCAGGCCCACCTCTGAGGCTGTGAACCTTGAATTAGAATTCTGGGCTACTGGTTTGGTTTGGTTTGGTTTGGTTTGGTTTGGTTTGGTTTGGTTTTTACCAGTTCTTCAAGGGCCTCCAGGGCTGAGACCACCTGAGCAAGTGACGAGGACTTTCAGGCATCTGCTGCCCTGGGGCGGCTATTGGAGGCAAGGGCTGACTTATCACACGAGGAGGAGGCTGTGCACCTGGGGCATTTGCTGACAGGAAGCCGCAGCCTGCAGAGGTGGGAAGGGGGGAGCACTTGCCTGGCTGTCCTTTGACCCATTTGCTCAGTGAGCAGTTTTTTGCCCTTATCAGGTCTGTGGGACAGTTTTCTGCTAACCTTGGACTCCAGGCCTGGCTCTGAGATGGGTGGAGAAGGTGTGGAGGAACTGTGTTCACCTTCAGGGCGGGAGGAGCCAGAACATACCTCGAATGCCTCCAAAGAGCCACAGATAGAGGGCACGGGAATGCCCCCTCGGGAGCTGACCTGTGACAGGGACCTGGAGGAATGAAGGTCACTAGGGAAATTATCTTCTGCAAGCATTCCTGGAGAGATGCTTTCCTCATGGTTTCTGCTCCAGCCCTGCAGGGTCTGAGCCCTCTGTTTCAGAGAAAGAGAAAAGCTTATAATGTTAAAGAGTTCCGGGAAGGGTTGTGCCTAATGCCTCGTGAGTGACACATGAGATCAGATACCCAACGAGTGACTCCGAGCCCTGGGGCAGGTGGGGAAAAGTCCAGGGATGTGACTGCTGCAGTGGGGCAGGAGGGTGTGGGGTGTGGGGTAAAGGAGACCTGTCAGCCTGGAGAAGCAGTCCTCTAGGGAGAGCTCATGGGGGAGATGGGCCTGGAAACGCCGAACGCCGCGGGGCAGGCCTGGGGGTGCGCTCTGTGTGTGGGAGCCTCCCCGCCCGCCTGGACCTGCTCTCTTAGTCAGTCCCTGGGGTGGTGATGAGGCCCCCGTTATTCACAGCCTGGATTGACATCTGGCTCCCTCGGGCCCACTCCCTCTTTCCTAGGGTGCAACCTGGCCTGCCAGCTCAGCACCCTGTGGGCTGGTCTCAGACACAGACAGCCTTCCTAGTGCCAGGGTTGGTGGGGGCTCAGGGCCTCAGCTGCCACAAGACTCTCCCTCCTGAGTCTTGAGCTCCACACTGGCCAGCTCTCTCAAGGGACTAGGTGTTCTCTGAAAGCGGAGGGGCAATGGTCTTATTTCTAAGATCTAGCTCCTGCAGAAGGGAGAGAATGAATTCCTGCTTTAGACTAGCATTCATGCTTTGGCTGCATCAAGTGTTTGGTTCCTGAACTAAAGTCCCAGACTGACCTGGCTAGTGTGGCTCACTGAACTGCGTGCTGTCCTGTGAACCAAAGGGTTGCCAGTTCGATTCCCAGTCAGGGCACATGCCTGGGTTTTGGGCCAGGTCCCCTGTAGGGAGTGTGTGAAAGGCAACCACACATTGATGTTTCTCTCCCTCGGTTCTCTCTCCCTTCCCCTCTGTCTAAACAATAAATAAACAAATAAAATCTTTTTTAAAATTGTTAAAAACAAACAAACAAACAAACAAACAAACAAACAAACCCCTTCCAGAATCTCAAATCTTTACTCTTTCAGAGACTGGCATGGCAAACTGCATTTTGTTCTTCTTTGCCGGTGGTGGTAAGCTTATTCAGGGAAATGGGGGCGGAGCGGGAGGCAGCGGCTGAGCCCTGATGGAAAGCCCCTGTCCCGGGAACTCCCTGTTATCAGTTTAGAGCGTGTAGAGGTGAGGGGACGAGGTCCTGTTGTGTCTAGCACACTCGGCTGGTTTCCGGGCTCAGTCAGTCACACAGGTAGACATGGAGGGCTGTCCCTCTGGGCGTGGGTGGAGGCTCCCTGCCCTCCCTCCCTCTCTGAAAGGGCTTTCCTGTCTGGCAGACCGTTAGCTCTGCTGCTGGACAGGAGTGTGTGTTTGCATGTTTGGGGAAGGAGGCGGGGAACAACGCCCTGGGCTCCCTGAGTGTCTTCGAAAGCCCAGCGCACGAGTGCGAAGTTCAGCAGGAGCAGCGTGGGTGGAAGAGTGAACCGGGAAGGCGTTCACACAGGGTTGGGATCTTGACCTGCCACATTTTTGCCCCTTTCCTCTACACCATTTGAGTTCAGTTTTTCCCTCCTATCTCCGACCCCTGGAATTGCTACCTCCCCTGCTTTTCTTATGCAAATAAGCCGTCTACAGAGCCTCCCTAGGAGGCTCAGATCCCACGCCCCCTCCCAAACCTCCCCAGACTCCTCCAAAAGCCTCTCCAGACTCCTCCAGACTCTCCTAAGCTGTCTCTCCTTTGAACATGAGCACTCACACACATTTTGTTTTCCTTATGGAGTTCTATACTATTAAGGGGTAGGAGCAATTTGGGTCTACACTTTCCTCCTGTCCGTTTATACTGCCCCACGTGGATAGGACTCGGGGTCGATAGCTGTGTACTTTGAAGTTAACATTGCCTTCTGAGAATTCAATTAGAAAGAAACCCAGTTTAGGAGAGGATGTGAGCCCTGTGTAAAAATTACCTAGGAGACTGATTATCTGTGATCATCCCAAATCTAATTAAGGAGACCCGGGTGAAACCTCCGAGGACAGAAGACTGCGATTATATTTTAGCAAAATAACTGCATTGTCTATTCCTCCTCTTTGTAAGGGGGGACCCAGGGATACCCTACTTGGTGCTGTGCAGGGAGTTGGTGCCCAGTCCTGCAAACACCAGGGGGCCAGGCCGAGGAACAGGTGTGACCTCTGAGGTGGCACAGATGCCTCAGGCTGTTGTCATCCAGCCACTTGATCATCCAAGGTCCTGGCCTTGCTCTGACTCCATGCTTCATCACTCCATTCTGAGGGCTCCAGGAAAGCTACGTCCCAGTGTCTGGGGACTGTAGCTCTGCAAATAACTACGCTGTCATTCTGGTTGCTATTGTTTGTCCAGTTCATGTTAGTAAGTCCTGAGATTGGTTTGTCTGTGGTGTGCACACAGTTGAGAATCAGGTACTGGGTTGTAACGAAGGGTCACCGCATCTGGGTGGCCAGACACCTTCCCCAGCTGGCCATGTCTGTCCTCAACCTTTTTAACACTTGCTGTTTGCATTAGTCACTCAAAAGCAGGGCCCATAAATACTTTCTGCGTGGTAGACTGATTGGGGCATAGGGTGGAAGGAGACAGCCCAGCTGGTGTGTTTGGACTCCAAAAGGCGTGGGGAGAAGGCCTGTGGTCCCAGGGGCGAGGAGAGGAATGAATGAATGGATTTTGACTGAACACCCCATGGGCCAGGCACTGGAGACTACATTTATATTCTTTATCTCCTTTTATTCATCCCAGAGGCCCTGAGATGTTCTTATTGCATCCATTTCACAGATGAAGAATGGAGGTTCAGAAAGGTTAAGTAATCTATGCAGACGTCACCTGGTGAGTGAGTGGAAGAGCGGGGATTAAATGCAGATCTTCTTGCCCTGAATCCCTATCCAGAGGGCCCGGGGGAACACCCGAGAGGGAAGGCATATATGCCTTCTGTGTTGGAAGAGGGGCTTCTGGGAGAAGAGGTAGACAGGGCACGGAGGACCTCCTGGAGGTATCTGCTCCTTGCCCGCACCCAGCATTTGCCCTTCAGGGACAAACTTGGCAGCTGGTCCTTTGCTGAGGATTAAATGGTAGGAAATGAGCTTCAGGGAAATTCCAGTCTTGATTTTTTGACGAGGTGAAGTCTGGCATGATGCCTGCCTGGAAACGCCCCAACAGCATGTCCCCCACCCCCACATGCTTACAGATCATGGGGGTGCTCCTCCCTCCCCCACCTAAACACTAGCCCAGGGGCCCAGGGGCCCAGCCCCAGCCATAGGCAGGAACCCCATGAGTGACACATGGCACTGCTTTTCCAACATCTGGACACAGGCTCCCTGACAGACCCCAGTCCAGCTACCACCTCCCCTGACCACCCACCTGTAGCCGTCACTCAGGCATCTCAGTTCCATTTCCTTCCTCTCTTGCTGCCTCCCCACGCTCGTGGGTGCAGACAATATGGTGTTGTGTGTCCTTTGCATGAATGTGAGTTGGCCTCCAGTCTCTGCCACCTTCTTCCTGCTCCTGATGTTCTTTGGTCTCCATTCTTTGTGCCAGTGATTACCTAGGAGCAAGTGGCTAGAGAAAGGTCAATGCCAGCAATTGCTGGCCTGGCCTGGGGGCCACCTCTTCACTGCTCTTGGGCAAGGCGCTCCACATGAGGCCTCCTGGGGAAGCCATACGCCACATTGTCTTCATTGGTGAATACTTTTCTTTATATCCCTTCCCTATTAATGACCGTATGGCCTCAATCCACTCCCCAAAAGATATCTCTACCTCAAAGTGCAGCTTCTTTTAAGCTGGAAAGACTTTTCCTGGCAGAAGAATCATGGAGGCCTGGGGGCAGAGAAGGGGACTGCGGAGCCTGGCCTGGCTCTCTGCTCTGGCCCTGTGGAGCCAGCCTGGGGAGGAAACAGTGTCTCAGAGCCCTGGTGCCTTGGGGTGGGCAGGGCCTCCCCATATTCTAGCTCAGCTCCAAGCATCAGAAAACCTGCAGAAAAGTGATCGGGGGAGCTCAGACACCCCCACCCCCGCTTGGGCCTGGCAGCCTCTCGAGCTGTCTGTGGGGTGGCAGAGGCGGGTGTTAGGAGTGGGCTGCAGCAACAGCCTAGCCCCACCCCAGCTCTGCAGGGCCCGGGCAGGGAGAGCCAGGCCCAGGTTTCCAAAGCTTCCCACCAGGAAATGTCTTTCCGGCTGAGGAGGAGCACTGCTTCGGGGCAGACAGAGATTCTGGAGGTGTAATGGAGCCATGTGGGAAGTTGGTGGGGAGAGAAATAAAGAAAAACATCAATCAGCAAAGACGAGGCGGGGTATGGTTTCGCTGCTGGCCTCAAGGGCAGCTCTTGCCAGGGAGCGGTGAAGAGCTGGCTCCAGGCCAGCAATGGTTGGTGCTGGCCTCTGCCCAGTCACTTGCCCAGTTCCTGGTGATCTTGTTCATGTTACATAATCTCCCTAACCTCACCTTCCTCACTTTTAAACCAGGGGTGAGAGCAGTATCTGCCTCTTAGAACTGCTGAGGGCACTATGTAAGATACTACATGCAAAGTGCATTGAGAGTAGAGGGGGCCTGGCTTAGAGTAAAATGTCCGATAGATACCATTCATTCATTCATTCACTCACTCACTCGGCATCTACCTGGTCTCAGGCTCCATTCTAAGGATGTAGGATATATCGGTGCACAGAACAGGCCAAGTGTCCTGTCCTTCCGGGGCTTGCATTCCGCCCAGAGCAGATACTGGGGGAGGAGATAAACAACGAACAAGAAGCAGGATAAATAATTAAATGAAATAGTGTGTTAGAAGGCTAGAGTGCTATAGATAAAGGAAAAGGTACAGCAGAGTGAGATGACTTCCTATCCCCCGCCCTCCCCCGTAGAATTTGGGTATCTTCACTCCTATTCATGTCTCCTTTCTAAGGAGAAGCATGAACCTCTTTTGCCTCAGGCCGTGCCCGGTGACAGAATTGCCGTCCCCTCCCAGTGTTGTATCTGATGGTGACTAGGTTTTAGTACAGATTCACTCATTTTTCCCTTCAACCGGAAGATTATTTATGGGACACCTGATTGAGGAATGCTCATCATGAATCATTCAGTTCTTGTCCTGAAGGGTCTTGCAGGTGAGGAAAGAGCTGCGTGTGAAAATCTAAGTGAGAACGTGACCAGACTTTGGAGAAGGCAGACAGGCACAGGCGCTGGTGGAGAGAGGCGCGCAGCATGTACCCACCCACGGTGCCGGCCCTTCCCTGCACTCAGGACTGTTCCACCGTGGTTTGCTTTGGCTGTTTTCTTCTGGTAAATTGGTGGACTGTCCCTAAGTTAGTGTTGAAGGGAAGGAAAATAAGCGTCGTTATATTGTTAGGTGGGAGAAATAGCCAACCAAGGCCGAGAGGAGGAGGGAGACATGTCACCCACTAACTCAGCAGTCCTGAGCCTGGGCCGGTCATACTGCCAGGTGTTCCAACAGCACAGGAAACACCATGCTGACCCGGGAGGAGAGCAGTCCTTGAGATTCTATGAATCGTCTCCACTATCTGGGAAAGAAAGCCTGTGAAACTGCTTTCATCCCAAGGCCTGAAAGCCCAGAAAGGGCCCACAGTGCCCAAAGGAAGAAGCCCATTAATACCTCTGTGTATTCCTGCCACCCCACCACCGAAAGCTGGCTCCACCTTCACCTGTCAATCAATAAGTAATTTCTTCACCCCCATCCTGCCACCTATAGAAGCCCTCAGAACAGAAGACTCTGACTTGGCACTCTTGGCTCTCTTGGCTTTCCATGCTTACCACTCCAGCTCTTGTCACTCCTGCACTTGCCACCTCGGCCTTTGGTCACCCTTACTTTCCCCGCCCTTACCCTGCTTTGCCCTGAACCTTTGCCTTTCAACATCACTCCCCCTTAACTAGGCCCGTTCTCTTTCATGAGAATGGATCAGCAATAAACCCTGCTTGCATGCTGATAGACTCACTGATCTGTAATTCTTTACTGCATTGGCAAGAAGAACTGAGTTTCTGGGAATTTCTCTTGTAACCATCTCTGAGGGGTGAAGAGTTATTTTATTTTAAAAAAATTTTTTTTTATTTAATTTTAGAGAGAAAGGAAGAGAAGGAGAAAGAGTGGAAGAGAAACATCAACGTGTGGTTGTCTCCCATGTGTCCTCTACTGGGGACCTGGCCTGCAGCCCAGGCATGTGCCCTGACCGGGAATCGAACCAGCAACCCCTTGCTTCACAGGCCCGTGCTCAATCCACTGAGCTACACCAGCCAGGGCGAGTTATTTTATTTTTTTAAAAAAATTATTTATGTATTTTTAGAGAGAGGGGAAGAGAGGAAGAAAGATAGGGAGGGAAACATCAGTGTGTGTGTGCGCCTCTTGTGTGCCCCCTACTGGGGACCTGGCCCACAACCTAGGCATGTGCCCTGACTGGGAATCAAACTGGCGAGCTTTTGGTTTGCAGGCCAGCACTCAATCCACTGAGCCACACCAGCTAGGGTGGAAGAGATATTTTCTAGGTTGGCCTTTGAAGAAAATGAAGACCTGGGGTCCCCATCTCATCCTACCCACTTAGGAGCAAGAAGGGATGCTATGACCATCTGTGCAGTCATGTGCCCAGCCTGTGACATATGTCTGCCTTCCCACCCCTGTAGTGTGGCCTCTGCTGCTCTTATTTAAAGGCTGGCCTGATCCTGGCAGAGCATTGAAAGAGAGAGAGGCTTATATTGTCTGTGGCTATGGCATCTTGCTGCAATCCTAAGGCTGTGGGGAAAGGAGGTGGTCCTAATGCCACTGGGGCTCTGCCTTCTTGAATACAAAGGAGAAGAGTCCCAAGTCTGAGGTGGGGTGGCTTGGCCACATGGCTAGGAAACCGAGGCCGCGTGTGTGTCTGACCACAGAAGCAGACGTGCTGCCTTGGGGCTCGGAACTGGGAACAGGCTGTTCTCCCCACAGTCACCACTCACATGGACCGCGGCGATGTCTCCTGCACCTGGCCCTCTCAGCTGCTGAGTCATGCTCCCTGGGGTTCGCAGAGGCGCAGCTCCAAAGCCAGGCTGAGTCATTAGATGATGAACTGTGGAATTCTCATTCTGGCTGTCACCGCAGCAGCAGTGGGCCCTGGTCCCCGCCCCGGGCCCCCCACCAAGCCTCTCAAAACATTCTCTGCTCACTTGTCATTCCTTCTTCATGTTGGAGGGCATGACAGTGATGGCAGAGGGACTCGTGGGGGTATCTATGAGCTTCCCTTCTCGAGTCTGGACTCTGGACATGTGATAGGGACAGGGGTCTGGTCTGGTAGCTCAGGAAAGAACTTCAGATCTCATTTTGCTTGGCTCTCTTGTAACAAACAAGGAAACAGAGACACGGGCTCCAGATTTAAAGCTGGTTAGAAGGGCAGTGTTGGAGTCAGGATCTAAGTCTACCTACCATAAGCAAGCCTCCCCAGGCTTCCGCGTCCTTGTCTGTCAAGCAATGCTAATGTCCCTACTTTCTAGAGGTTCCGGCTGCCGGAAGTCACGGGTGAAAAGCACAGGGAGGTGAGTGCTTAATAGCTGCTCTTTGATCCGTAGAATGAAGAGCCAGAGGCTGTGATTTAAAAATACGAACCTGAGGTCTTTCTTGTTCCTGCTCAGGACACTTGGAGGGAAGAGGCAGGAACTCCTGCCGCAGGGGGGGGGGGGGGCACTTTGTGGACAGATCAGAGGGGGTGGGTTGGGCCAGTGGGCAGATATTCCTGTAGCCAGATACCTCCCGGCCCTGCAGGGGACACTGTGAGCTTGCAAATGTGGCCTGCTAGCCCGTGCTCACAGATATCCATTTGGTTCCCCCGCAAAACAGAAAACAAGCAGAGACCAGGGGTGGGCACAGCCACCCTGACCTGGGTTCCTCACCCACATGGTCATGCCCCCCCTGAGCATCCCCACGCTGGGCCAGAGCACCTGCTGGCTCCCACCAAGGGTTAGCCCAGAGGTACACATCTCTGCCCAGAGGGCGCCTCTGTCTCCTGCAGGCAGGAGTGGCCCAGGACAAAGGTGGAACCATAGCACAGATGGCGTGCCTGTGCCCATTGCCCTGCTCCGGCAGGGTCCCGACTACTGTGTTGACATCATTGGAGCTACCACAGGTTAGCTCTTCCTTTGTCCACCTGGGCCTGGGTGCTGGCAGTGCCCCACACCCATCAACTATCCGAGACAAGGGTCAGATTTTTCAAAAGAATTTATTAAGAAACAGAAGAAAGATAGGAAGTATACAATCGAAAGAGTAAGAGTTTACAACAGATTTTTCAGCCCATTGCAACTAAGAGAAATTTACTGGGCTGACACCATGGATACCAAGACCCCAATTCCATTTTCAACCCTGTCTCTCTTGGCTCCTGAGCCAAGCAGTTCTAACTTTCTCCTGAAACAAGTCAGGCTGCCTTCTAAAACCTCCCCAAACCTACTTCCTGTTTGCCTCTTTATACACAGGCCCTTCTCTATTTGGTCCCAAAGATTCTTCACCTAAAGCTTCGAGGGAGGTCCACACCAACCCTGCTGCAAAAGGCGTCCTCTCACCAAAGGCATCTGTGGTCCCTCAAAATAATTTTTTGCTCTTGTCTTGATCCATTTAATTAAACTATATGCACGAACCAGTCGGGTAGGATGGTTCTACTACCTCTGGTCAAGTTACCAATCTTTCTAAGCCTGCGTCGGAACTAGGTCTTTCCCTTGCTAGGGACATTTTCTTGAGTGCTCTCTGGCAGCTCTCCGCCCCAGCGTCCTCCCCAAAACAGAACTCCGTGCCCCGTCCAGTCTCCCACTTAATTTATGGGATAACTCGAGTTCCCAGCTGATTCACCAAGGAGAGACGGTCAAGCACCCAACTTTGAACCCTACCCAGTTCAGGTCACCAACCTCATCATCAATTTCCTTGGAAGATTTCTGACTTCCCTCCTGGACTTCTGCCCCTGTGAAATCTTATCTCTGTAGATTAATTACGTGGCGTGGCTGTATACACATAGTAATAATAAGACTACAGTGAAAGGAGAGCTATTCCCACCCCGAATTATATTTTCTCTAAATTATCAAGAGATTTGGCCACTCTCACCATTCTGAACTTCTAAAAGTCTATGGTTATCAGTCCTTCATTAGTAAAGTCTGATTCTCAGCTGGCTTTTAGGAACAGCGTTGCATCTTAGCAAGCTGGCCATTGGTCCCTTCTCCTCCAACGGTCACGGTTGTCATAGTATATGGCATCTTCAAATAACAGCTGGAATGTAAAATAAGAGTATCCTCCAAAGGAGAAGCAGGGAACAGCTCTACCCAGATGTTCTGGAGCTTTCACCTCGCAACACGTGCGGCCCACTCGCGCACACACTGACGTCACAGTATTAGGTTAGGACAAGTCGGTTAAAATTTTTTTCCAACCAATACCTAGGACTTGAGCTTTATGGCATATAAAATACAATATCCTTTTCTCTACTTCTCACCCAGGCCACACAACAACCCTGTGAGCTGGGCATGGTGGCTATCATTATCCCCATTTCACTAATGTAGAAACTGAAGTTCAGAGAGGTTAGGGAGCTAGACCAAGAGAACATTTTACGTGAAAGAGCCAGCACTCAACCCAGGTCTCTGCTTCCTCCTTCACTTTTTTAAGTGCAGAGACTGTGAAAAAGGTTTTCTGCTCCCCTTCTCCCTACTTGAACGAACGGCATTCTCCTTTCACCAGTATGTGCACAATCTAGAAAGCTCCGAACAGGAAAGGGAATAACTGATCAAGTTAATTGTCATAGTCCAATGCAGGGTGGGGGTGAGGTGGCACGAATCTTGCCATGTTCCCGACTTCTCAAGATCTATAGTTTAACCAGGAACTCCTTCCCCGCCCCAGTGCAGAGTGGTGCTTTCTGTGGGTTTCATTAGGATTCCCGGGTCGCAGTTACGATGCTGGGGATTTTACCTCTAAATTGGCTCAGTGCTATACTTCCAACCCATTTCATATTTTGCCCATGTTCTGGGCCTTCCCACCCTGCCCCTTAATGAGGAAAATTTAGAATTTCTGTCAATCTTCCAATGCCTGGCTTTCCAGGATGCTTACAGGTTCCTGGCAAGCCTCATGGCTCCCGCAGCTTGGGAGCACCAGTGAGATTCTCTTCTTGCAGTCAGGTGACATTTCCTTTCTAAAGGTCCATACTCCTGCTTTGCCTCCTGGGTGAGGCACTGGCTGGAGCCATTTCTCCAGCCAGGCCCACGGCACATGGTCCCTGTGCAGCTCTGCAGAGCCGCTGTGTCAGCCCGAAGGTGTGTGATCCCTCAGGACCTTCCACATACGTAATAAGCAGGACAGGCCAATCTCATCTCTTTTGTGACTGGGAGCCGAGCCACGCCCTGGGAAGCACGTGGTTGACTGTGTCCACTGTGTACCCCCTGCTGACCATTTCCCATAAGCCAAGGTTTTGGACAACTTGGTTAGATGGGGTTATGGCACTTAAGGTGGCAAATCTCTGTAGTCTTACCACCGTCCCATCCCTTTTCGCAGATACTCATCTCACACACGTTTCACCAAGCACCAGCCGTGAGCCATCATTTCGTGAAACCCACGGAGAGGACTGCAAAGACAGACCCTCCCCACCAGTGCCACTCACCCTACGCCAGGTGGTTCCTTAGAACCGCCGCCTGGTTTCCAGTTGGTCTGAGTTAGTTGGCGAACTCAACTAGACCTTCCTCCGCCTTCCGAACACGACACAACGACCCCCTCACCTGAGGGGACCACCTGCCCTCTGTAAACCTTCCCAGGGTGAGCTCCTTGCTCAGTCACCAGCTAGACCCCTGCAAATCCAGTAGCTAGCTGTTCTTAAATATCATTTATAGACTTATATTTCTTAAGTAAACATTCAGGCATATATGTTACTTAATGGACAATAATAAGTAAAAATGTGCATATATCAGTAACAGCATGAAATAACGCAGAAAGGACCCAGTCTCCCAAATCACTATTTACATGTTTTGAACCTATTTCCACTCACTAACAAATCAGACACACTTTCACCTCATTGCTACCATCATGTGATTACAACCCAAATTCTCTTCTTTGTTTTGCCCATGATTGCATCACACACCATATTCTTGTAAATAGTTTTCATTGCTGTCACGCAGGGAGGCAGCAGCTCCTCTTCCTCACCGACCACAATCCACTCCGCTGCCCCCCACAGCAGAGTGGTTTCCAGTCAAGACTGTGATTTATAGGGCGGCCACCAACGTCTCTGAGCAAAGACTTTTGTCTTTTGAATTACTTTCCCAGAATGTATTCCCCAAAGTGAGATAACTGAGTATAGTTTTTTTTTTTTTTAAACTCTTGCCGAGTATACCCAAATTTCTCTCCAGGAAGCAACATTTTACAGTGCCAGGAGTCTATTTCTCCACCACATAGTTAAAAAAATGCATGTTTGACACACGAAAATGGCTGACTCGTTAAAAGCTTTTTGCTTAGTCATCCTGGCCTGCGAGTGTCTCCTGCTGGGTGCACGGCCTGCCTGGGCCTCTCACCGAGTGCGGGGTCTTCGTCGCTGCACCATCTATGGAGGCCCAGCTCTTACTCGGGTCTACATACATGGCTGTCTCATCTTATTGGTTTTTTAAATCTTCATTACCCCTTGCTGTATATACATTTCAAATTTTTACATAATTGAATCTGCCCACTTGACATTTCTCCTACTGCTTCAATAAACAAGCAATAACCTCCCCAAAGGATGCTCCTTTTCCCACCCCTAATGCCCTGGGATTTCTATCTGGCGTTGTCCAAAATTACCCTGGTTCTCATGAACATTCATTGTCCACAATGAACCCCACGTTACTATTCCCTTAAGTCTTCTCTCGTCAGCCCCGGCTAAACATGTCCGCCTAGGTTCCACCGCCGCGCTGGCCTGCGCAGAGGACCAGGGTGGTGACTCACCTCCAGCTAGATCCTTCCCTCCGGTTACTCCGTCACCTTCCCAGCCTCACTACCAACTTCTGAGGTTCCCCAGCTGTTTTGTCTTCCAACCCCACACTGGCCTCCAAGGGGAGGCTGTTTCCCCAGCAGCGACGGCCCTACCGGACGACACATTCCCTCACTCCTTAGTTCAGCCAAGTGAGCTGAAATTGCTCAAAAGGAACTCTGTTGGAAAACTAAGAGGAAACTAAAAATAGGCTCCAGGAAATGTACAGATACCAATACAGAAAAGATTTTACTGCCCACATAGGTCTTGGCTTGGAGGTGGAGGGGCTCCTGGGGGTGCCCCTTCTCTCACACTCAGAACCCTGTGCGTTAGACTCTGGCCCTGCCAGAGACCCTGAGACCTTGGCCTCAGCTGGCGTCTGTACTTGGTCCCCCACCCCATACTGCACTGGGGGTGCCATTGTCAAAGACAAGCCTGTATACTTCCTGGCCGCGGCTGGTGGAAGATGCCATTAACGGCCGTTTCGAAATCCCAGGCTTCTTCTGACCTGGCGTGTGTCCCTGTTCCAATCTGAGGAAAGCCAGCTCTCAGCTCTCCCAGAAGGCATGTGCCTGACATGCCCTGAGCCCTTCTGGGTTCGGGGACTCCTGCCCACCTACCTCCTCAAGACTCTTGCCAGGCTCCTCCACCAGGAATGGTTTTAAAGAACTCAAATTAGGACCAGCTTACAAATCTCAGAGACTTAAACTCTAACGACAGTATTAGAGGGGCTGGCAGCAATGGTGGGAGCAGTCACCCGCCAAAAAGCAAGAGGTGCGGTCAACTCCCAGCACCCTGCCAGCCGTCCTCCTTTGCCTCTGAGGGCTATGGTCACACCGTAACCCTCGGTCCTATCTCAGCCCACCCAAAAAGGGGCTGGCAGTGTGGCATGTCACACCGAAAGGCTGCCAACACGTGGCCTCTGGGAAAGTGCCCTAGTCTACCACATCGCATGGCAACCCTGCCCCACTCCCTCCCCAGTCCCACCCCAATCCCAGCCCTTTAACTGTCCGGAGAACGGACCCGAAAGATGTGGATGGTCCCATTACTGAGGGACACAACCAGGTACCTGCCATCCACCATGGTGGTCACCCGGGGCTTTTCCAGGCCGTGATAGGCTGTCAGGAAGTCACCTAGTAGTGACCCCTTTGGGTCCAGGATCACCACCTTGTTGACCTCTCGCAAGGTCAAAAAAATGTAGCCCTTCTTATCCACAGACACAGAGCCCGGCTGGCAGCCATGCAAGCCTGGCCCTGCATACTCCCCAATGACCTGACCCAGCCCATCACAGACCACCACGCTATTCTGCTGCCAATCTGACCCCACGAAATTGCCCTGGGGGCTGGCGGTCAGGAACACCAGCGCCCGAAGGCCCCGGTTGGCCTTGCCCCCAGGGATAAAGCGGGTGGCCAGGCTGCCTTCCATGTTATACACCTCCACGTGGCCCGACACGCTGACAGCCACGCGGTCCCCGCTCGGCATTGCAGCCACAGCATGGCTGGCCTGGGAGAGGCTCAGGGCTCGGCGCCACTGCACCTCCCCGTCAGGGCTGATGAGGTAGAGCCGAGCGCCGGCCGAGAAGGCCACCGCACCCTGCAAGGCCGCCACGCTGCACGGGGAGCAGCCCTCGGGGACAGGCACAGCGCCTTTGTAGTCACCATTGAGGGAGAAGCGCTTCAGAGCCCTGTTCTGCTCATCTGCCACCAGGATCTCCCGGGGGCCAAAGGGACAGAGCCCAGTGATCCGGGGAGACCGCTTGTCACCAGGCATCCGTGTAGGAAAGCTGCAGGAAAAGATGGGCTTGGGGAGGAGGCCTGAGTCCTCCAGGGCTGGCCCAGGTGCTGGGCTGGGCTCCCGGGAAATGGACTTAAGCCTGCCTTTAAACTTCCTTTTCTTGTTGGATCTGCCACCAGCCTGGGCTCCTCCGTCTTCTTGGGGCATCTGGGCTCTGCCCTCTTTCGGGGTCTGGGCTCTCTCAACATTTGGGGTCTGGCTTCCATCTTTCTGTGGCGTTGGGGCTCTGTCCTCCTTTGGGGCCCGGGATCCATCCTCTCTGCGCTTCTGGGTTTCCTCACCTTCCTGGCTTCCAGCTCCATCTTTCCCACTGTCCTTTTGGGGCTGCTGCTTCTCAAAGGAGAGCCATAGCAGGTGGCAGTTCTTATCCTGGAGCCCAGGATGAAGCTCCAGCTGGGGCAACAGACAGGGGGATGGACCAGGCATCCAGGGAAACCCCTGCAGCTGCTGGAGCCTCTGGGCAATCGCCCCCTCCAGAGAGAGTATCTCGGCCTCACGGCCCAGGCTGAGCACCCGACGGGCAAAGGCAGCTGCCGCCCTGGCCACCTGCTCCCGGCTCTCCAGCTCCCCCAGCCTCTCCCGAGCAGCCTCCTCTGCAGCTTCCATGTGAGCCCGTAGCTGCCCCAGCACCTCCTTTTTCTGGGCCAGGAGGGCTCGGAGAACCCCCTCAGCAGCCTCTTCCACTTGTGATCCCACCCTGGCCACCTGCTCCCGCAGGCTGGCTAAGGCTTCCTTTTCCACCATCCGGGCGGCCTCTAGCTCAGCCAGGTTCTTGTCCACACCTGCCAGTAGCTCCTCAAGGCCCGGTCTCCGGGCACGCACAGCTTCAGCCAGGGGCAGGCAGGGGTGGTCCAGGTGGGGGTCCAGGCGACACTCACGGCATAGCAGCTGGGAACAGGGCTGGCACAGGAATCGCAGGGCCTCCCCTGGGTGCTGGGGACACTGGGCTGCCTGGCGCTCCCGGGCCTCCTCGTCATACAGCCCTGCCCTGTAGCCCACCAGGTCTACCACTCGGTGGGTGTGCGTCTGCCGGGTGCAGCGGTGCCCGTCGGCACAGGCCTGGCACAAGTCATCAGCACAGTCTAGGCACCGGGCTGTGGCTGGACCCCCAGCACTGGCACCCCCCATCAAGGGGCACAGGGCACAGGCCGGCTTCCCTGTGCGCAGGTCTCCACCGGCCCGAGCCTTCACTAAATCCAGGAGCCCATTGACAAAGAAGTTGGTCTTGAAGGCAGCCACGCCTGCTGGCGGCACGGGCACCTTCTCACGGCACTCGGGACATCGGAGGTGGCCGCCATCAGCCAGCTGGGCTAGGCAGTCCTGGCAGTAGGTGTGCAGGCAGGGCAGGGTTTTGGGTGTCCGCAGCTGCTCCAGGCAGATTTTACATGCCAGGAAGTCACTGCTCAGGGCCTCCAGGAGAGAAGGCGAGGATCCCTGGGACACCATGCTGCAAGTGAAAGGGCAAGGTTAGAGGGCAGAGGGCACCGCCACAGGGCCTCCAGCCTGCCCTCCTGCCTATCCCTCTATCCTCAAGCCCTACCAGGTCTGGAGAATCACCTGAATGGCCAGAAATTTTCTTCTGGTCTTGTGGGTCCTCTGGCCACTTGCTCTCGAGCGGGGGAGCTGCCCTCTTCCTTGCATACATTCAGCAAATGTGAAAAAGTCGGTGCTGCTTGAATATGTCAAGAGATGTAAGAAATGACAAGACCAGAAGCCTGGCCGCAGAGAGCTGGTAGTGTAATGACTGGTGCCCTGATCGACAGGCCGTGTGGCAGGTGAGGTCTGAGCCCCTGTGTGCACAGGTCCTGGGGATCCTGCTGGGGTGGGGGGACACAGCAGAAGGTCCAGGTGGGCAGACTTTTCTTGATTTCTGGCATTTGGGGCACTATGACTGGTCCCAGTTCCCCTGGCCCACAGAGCTGTCTTCTAGAGCCTGGGAGCTGCATCATGGGTAGTGGGGACCCCGCTCCCTGCCCTGACTTTCTGAAATGGGTTCTGGAGCAGGCAGCAGAAAGCCTGAGAGGAAGGGGCTGTCCTGCCCTCTCCTTCCAGCCGATGGATCTTGGGGTCACTGCAGCCTTTGCCTCAACTCCTAGAGTCCTCTTCTTTCAGTCTTTCCTGCTGCAAGAGGCCCTCTGCTCTCCTAGAAACCTCTGAGGAGGCGGAGCTGTGCGAGGTTCATCAGTGAGTCCTCCCAGCTCCCAGCACAGCAGCTGTGAAATACTTGACAGCGAGACTTGGGGAATTTCCCCAAACTTCCGGAAAGTGGGAGCTGGCAGGAGAGTTCAGAGAGTGGGAGGGAGTCTTTTCCAGGGTAGCCTCAGACTTTTGGCCCTGTGGGGTGAGGTGGGGGTGCTCCCGCCGGGTCTCCCCTCTTCTCTTGACTTCCGGGTCCCTCTCTCCCCCTCCCCCCTCCCTTCCTCTTCCTCCCGTGGTCTCTCTCCCCTCCCCCCATTCCCTCCAGTTCAGCTCTTCCTTCAGCTGTCCTTTCCATCCCTCTCCTTACCTGGCCTGAGCTGACTCTGGGCTGCAGAACCAGGACTGGGGAGGCTGAACTCTGGAGACGGCTGTTGCAGGGTGCCTGGAAGAGAAACAAAACTGAAACTAATTGTACTTGTGCAACTTCCGTCCCAGCCTCGGGACACTGACTTGCACAGCCTCAGGCCCCGCCTTCTTCCCCTCCCCGCCTGCACCTCTTCCTGGGGGCGTGGGGGTTGCTGTGGGCGCCGACTTCAGGGCTCCGACCCCTCTCCGGGAGCCCACGGAGTCTGCCTGCCAGGGTCTGCGTGCCTAGCCTCAGGACCTGTTCAGCCAGCTAGGCACGTTTGTCGCAAATGCAGGAACTGCCTAAGGACCAGTCCTCTGAGGAAAAATCCTGTGTGATTCAGACCCCAGTTCTCAGGCCAGCTTTCCCCTGCTGCAGCTTTTCTGCAAATCCAGTCCTAGGTGAGGGCCCTGGTGCCATAACCTTCTGCTGAGCTATGGGAGAGGTTGTGAGAACCACGTAAGGGGCCTCCATCTGAGGGGGTAAGCGAAGGCTCCCTGGAGGAGGTGTCACTTGAGATAAGTCTGAAGAATGAACAGGGGGTTGGGGTCGCTGGAGAAGAACAGAGGGGAGAATGTTCTGGGCAGGAGCAGCAAGTATGTGCACACGGAGGAATGGAAAACCACCGGCTGGCTCTAACTTACCGGGGCGGTTTGTGGGAAGGGGACCTGTGAGTGGTGGCAGATGAGACTGTAGAAGCAGCCAGATCACAAAGGGCCTTATGAGCTACATGAAGGCGTTCTTGAATTTCATCCAACAAGCCAGAAGAAATCACTGAAGGATATTTTCAGCAACATCCTATGAAAATTTTGAAGCACAAAGAAGTTGAAAGAATTGCGGTGAACACTCGTATACCCACCACCTCGATTCTGCAGTGAATGCTTTACTGTAGTTGATTCATTATAAACCTATACGTGTATGTACCCTGTTACACACGATCACAGGATTTCAGCAGGAAATCCAGCCGAGGGCTCATGGTGGCAGCAGTCAGAGAATAAGGGGGGCCTGACTAGAGGATCCAGGTGAAAGGCGTGTGTAAGGGGGGGGGGGGGGTAGAGTCTGAGCTGACCCAGTGGCAACAGGGACAGAGAGGAGGGTGGAGGAGTTGCTGTTGAAGGCGAAAGAAGCCATGGCACTTGTCGTCATCCCTGGGAGGGTGGTGAAGGAAGGAGGGCAGCATGTCCCTTAGGTGTTTCAGGTCAGCAGGGGAGGCTAGGCTGGCAATACCTAGGCTGGTGACTCGTCCATACACTTCCAATGTGTATCTGTGGCTTTGATGAGGTCATTCAACAGTGTCCAAAATTAGAAGAATAGGTCTGAGACGGCACTACAGGGAACACAGACATTTAAGGGCAAGGGGGAAGGGGCTGGAAGGAATCTGAGAAGTAGTTGCCAGAGAGGTAGGTGGAAATCCACGAGAAAAGTCCCAGGAGTCACTGCTGGAGAATGCTGCACTTGCAGACGAAGGAAGTGAGCGGCGCTGTGGAATACTGCAGACTGGATGGCCAGCCAAGACGTGGACGGGAACATGTGTTGGTGTACGTGTGCCGCTAAGTGCATACATATACCTGCATGTGCATATGGCCTCTGTGTGTGCCTGTTGTGCACATTCAAGGATTTGCTGAATGCCTACCGTGGCCGGACTGGACGGTGTGCCATGCACCGCAGAATATACAAAGACAAACAAGATGTGTTCTCTGCCCACAAGGAGTTTACAGTCTACTGTGGAAGTGAAATATGTACATGGTGAGAGAGTAAGACAAATATGATATTAAGATGTCAAAATAATAGCCACAATGGCTTCTTTTCATTGAGTATTTAGCATGAGCTTGACATGGGGTATTGTAAACATAACCTGATTTAACCCTCACAGAAACCTGGTGAGATAAGTGTTATTATTGCCTTCATTTTACAGGTGAGGAAACTGAGTTAGAGAAAAAGTGATTCACATGAGGCCATATAAAGTGCTATGACCCAGTGGCCACGGGGACAGAGAGGAGGGTGGAGGGGTTGGTTTCTTCTGGAATGAATTTGGGAGAAAAGGGAGAATTTGGTTTCTCCTGGAATGGTGGTGGTAGTGTGGAAATCAGGAAGGCTTCCTGAAAGAGGAGACATTACAGTGGCTGTCCTACCCAGCTTTCCTTAATGTTGAACAATTGCTGAAAATGTCTGCAGTGTGGGGCCGGACCCCAGAATGAGTTTCTCTACCCTGAGAAAAGGCTCTTAAACCAAGTGATAGCTCAACTGCAGCCAATAGATAAGCATTGCCCTGGAGACAAGGGCAGGGGAGGAGGAACTGGGGGTAGGGCAGAGATGGCTGCTGGATGCTGAGGGCACCTCAAAGATGACTCTTGGGGAAGTTGGTTGGTCTGATAGGACTGGAAAGAGGGTGGGTGGAGGGTAGTGGCAGGAAATGGGAGTTGGGCAGGCAGAACAAACTAAAATTTCCTGTAGACCTTAGAATCCTGTAAGACCTTAAATTAATAGGAAGCCATTATAGGATTTGGAACATTTGGACTTTGTTCTGTAGGTACTAGGGGGAGGGGGTTTGGGAGTGTGAGCAAAGATTTTTAAATTTTTTTTATCTTAATTTATATAAATAATAAGGATAATTTAAAATAAATTTTCAAATAACATCACCATTGTAACAAAATATTTTTGTGTCTATTTCTTTTCACTGTCCATATGACATATATTTTACATAATTGTATTTGTAGTGTATGTGCACTTTTTCTCTATTTAATCACTTAATGTTATATCAACATTTTCTATATTTCTACATAGTCTTCATAGTTACCGTTAATGGCTGCATAATTATATCCCATGGTGTACCTAACTAGTTAGTAAAATGCTGATAAGCCAGCTTTGCCCTTACTAGTTTCCATGGTGTCAATAGGGTATAAATATTCCCACCAGAGCTGCTTTAACAACCAGCTGCAAAACTCCTGAAATTTAACAATGACCTCTCAGGAGCAAGTTCTTTGGGGAAGTTTTTAGAACCTTCTCTCTGTCTCCAAGTTCTGGACTTCACAGTGAGTGCACCACGCTGGGCGTTCAGTGGCTCTTTCACTCTGGAAATAGTTTCCTTGTGGATCTGGAGAATTTCCCTAAAGTATTTTGTTGATGATCTTCTCCCCTCTGTTTTCTGTTTCCTTTTCTAGAAGTTCCATCAAATCAGATGGTTCAGATATTGTGTCTCTCTCTTTTTAAAAGATTTTATTTATTTTTTTAGAGAGAAGAGAAAAGAGAGAGAAAGAAACATTGATGTGTGAGAGAAACATCAGGCATGTGCCCTGATCGGGAATTGAACCAGCAACCCTTCAGTTCACAGGCTGGCACTCAACCCTCCAAGCCATGTCAGCCAGGAATAGATGCTGGAGCTCTTAAATGAGTACTCTAATTGTTTCCTGTTATTTTCCATTTCTTTCTCTTTTTGTACTACTTTCAGGGAGATATTTTTCAGTGTAAACCTTCTGACCCTTCTATTGTGTTTTTTCAAATCTGTTGTCATGGTTCTACTGTATTTTTGCCATGTATAATTCATACCCACATTTTTGGCCCAAAATTTCAGGAAAAACATCTTTCATTTTAATGTTTTAATTCAACTTTTTATTTATTTATATTTAGATACTTGGTTTTTGTATTGTAAAGGAATTTTAGCATTTATTTTTCTAAAGATTTTATTTATTTATTTTTAGACAGAGGGGGAGGGAGGGAGAATGAGGGAGAGAAGCATCAATGTGTGGTTGCCTCTCACGCGCCCCCTACTGGGGACCTGACCCACAATCCAGGCGTGTGCCCTGACTGGGAAATGAATTGGCAACCCTTTGGTTTACAGGCTGGTGCTCAAACCATTGAGCCATACCAGCCAGGGCCTTAGCACTTATTTTTGAACATATTATGGTACAAGAAATTTTATGTAACAAATAATTACAAAACACAAGAACAGATACAAGGTATTTCAGGTGCTACCCATGTATAATGTGCATCTTTATTTTTCCCTCAAAAATGTGGGCAAACAAGTGTGCATTATATACGGCAAAATATGATAATTCGTGAGTTCCCTTTTTTAGCCCTTACTTTTCCTGTGGAAACAATATCTCCTATCTCTGAGGATATGAATGATTGTATTGTGTGTGTGGTTTTAGTTTTCTTTGCCTTGTATAGTTTCTGTTACCTCAAAGTGGTTTTTCCTCCCTCCCTCTCTTTCTCCCTTTTTAGGTGATGGCGGTATTTCTTATTCACATTTTAAAATTAGCTTTCTGAAGTGAAATTTACATATTATAAAAATCACTAATTTCAATCTATAGTTGAATGAGGTTTTTAAAAAATATTTATTTTAGAGAGAAGGGAAGGTAGGGAGAAAGAGAGGGAGAGAAACATCGATGTGTGAGAGATACACTGAAATCAGTTGACTCCTGCATGCCTTTCAACTGGGGACCAGCCCCACAAACCAGGCATGTGCCCTGGCTGGGAATGGAACCAGTGACCCTTCACTTTGCAGGATGACACCCAACCAACTGAGCCAGACTGACCAGGGCTATGGTTAAATTAGTTTTGACAAAGGTATATAGTCAAGTAATTACCAACACAATTATCAACACAATCATTATGGGGCTGGCAAAACTAGGCTTACAGTTGTGAGTATGTGAAACAGAGTTTATTCTTGTATTATTATTTATTCTTGTATTATATATTTTTCCATATAAACAACTGTGAACCTACTTTTTCCCACCCCTGTAAATATCACCAATTTTTTGATGAGCACTTGGGTTGCTTCCATATCATTGCTATTGTATATAATGCTGCAGTGAGCATAGAGGTGCACATACTCTTTGGAATTAATGTGTCAAGCTTTTTAAGATATATACTCATAAGTGGACATATATCCAGTTCCATTCTTAATTTTTTGAGGAAACTCCATACTGCTTCCCACAGTGGCTGCACCAATCTGCATTCCCACCAATAGTGCACTAGGGTTCCCTTTCTCCACATCCTCACCACCACTTGTTGATTTACTGATGACAGCCATTCTGACAGGTGTGAGACGATACCTCACTGTGGTTTTAAGTTGCACTTCTCTGATGATTTGTGATATTGAGCATCTTTTAAAAATGTATTTCATTGATTATGCCATTGCAGTTGTCCCATTTCCCCCCTTCATTCCCCTCCACTCTGTATACCCCTCCCCCCATTCCCCCCTTTAGTTTATGTCCAT